GGTACTGTAAGATTTTGTGACTGTCCTGTATCCCTTCCCCAAATTCACCCACTGGTTTTAGGGCACACTGACAATTCTTGCTTAAGTCGATTATTACTGTTACAGTGATATTCATTTTATTAAAATCTTATTTAATTTGGTGATACCTGTTCTTTAAATCCCTCAAGAACCTTCATTCTAAATATATAACTTAAAAATACAGTGAAAACCAATAAACATCTTTACTAAATAAGAAAATTTGATTGACCTAAATAAAACTAAATCTAAACTTCTCATGATTATTTTGGAATTCATCATTTCAGCTCTTCTAAATTAGATTTTGTGGGCTTTAGAGCAAATATAGCTACATAAGCCTTGAATTTTAGGATTGAAGCTCGGGTGACCACTTCTTGTTACTAAAATACTTTCTTTGTTTATTATTATTTGTTGTTACTTCTGTGGCAAATGATCATTATCACAAAATGACAATAAATAATAAATTGACACATGAAAATTTATCTTACCATTTTTGGTGAGACAGTGTAAGTTAATGGCTAAAGAGTTTGAGCTCTGGAAACTGACTTAGGTTTTAATTCTAAATTTAATTTTTACATTTTAATCTGAGGTGTCCCTTAACCTCTTGGAGTTTGTTTCCTCATCTGTAAAATGGTGGTAATAACAACTGTGTTTACTTCATAGAATTGCTATGAGAATGAAAAGAGCTAACAGACGTAAAGTGCTTGCTTATTAATTAGCAAAGTGCCTGGCGCATTTTAAGCACTTAGGAACTGAAGTTTGTGGTCATGAAGTTGGTGGTGATTGTTATTTGCACTAGGGATCTGTATTAAAAATTATAACATGCAAAATTATGTGTTTAAGCACTCAGGAAGCTTTGTTTTTTGAAAGGTAGCCAAGAACATTTTGAAGGTTGTTATACTTAATGTGTTTTCAAGTATTAAGAGAAAAAAATCTTTTAATTAAATTTTCCCTTTAAAAACGTGGCCAAGTAAAATGGAATTTTCCCAATTTAGCACATTCATCCCCCCCATACCTTCCTGTTCCTCTTTACCACAGAGGAGTGCATTTGTCAGCCCAGGCTTGTCCAGAAATCCCTCACTATTCTGCCCTTCCTCCCCCAGCCTGTTTGGCACCAGTGGAAAGCAAGCAGTTTTGTGCCATCTATTCTGCCTGTAATCCAGGGCCGTGGTGGTGACAGTGCCAAGGGTTCCTACCGCTTCCCCGGAGCCCGTTTTTCCACCCACAGACTGGCTCTGAGTTGAGGGCCTCTTGTAGGTCACCGTGTCTCCAAAGTACCCACATACTTCTCAGGTGTTTGGGAAACAAGGTCACCAGTTCTGAAACTTGAGGAGTTTTATAACCCTGTTATCTCTCTGGCTCAGAGGTGAGGGAGTTTATCATTTTTTGGAAAAGTTTTTCTATATCTTTCAAACTAATAGAAGAACCTGAGATCATAGTGACAGTTTGAAGAGCTTAATTTATAGGTATAATAGGTTTTTATTTAAAGAGTGTATTAACATCAGCAAAGATACCCCATCTGAGCATTCTCTTTCTTGGTGGAAATGGCTAATGACATATGAAAGCAAATATTCAGTCACTTTGTTTGTTTATAGTAATAGTCAACCTGTCATTCAAAAAAACTTCAATTAAGGTTTCTCTTTATTATCTAGATTACTGCCCTTTATTCATCAAATGTATGCAAATACAAAATAAAAAGTATATATCATTAATTTAAACCCTATTTTAAGTGAGACATATGCAAAACTTAATTTTACATATCACATAAATAACTGAAAATATAATAAAAGAAAAATTGACATTTGCATGATATCCTATCTTCACATATAGAGTTTACAGAGTATCTTCACATACGTTATTTTATAACATACATTTCTGTAAGATAATCAGGACAAATACTTATTTTTATTCTACAGAGAAAAGAGCCAAGACTTAGACATTTTTAATTAATATTCAAATTCATAGTTTTATCAGTTACGAGGTGACCTTGAACAAGTCTCTTAATCACTGTAATTTCTATAACTGTAAAACAGAATTTAAAATAGGGGCTACCTCCCAGGTGTGTGTGAAGATGAAATGAATTAATACCCATAAGGCACTTAGAGCAGTGCCTGGTGCGTGGTAGATGCTCAGTGGATGGTAGCTACTAGCTGTTGTTACCACACACAGTAAATGTTAGGTCTTAGACCCAGATCCAGACCCTCTGATTGCTAGTCTAGAACTCTTTTCATAGTACCTTGTGGAATTTGCCTTTTAGTAAATCATTGATTTAATTTCTACCTCACATTGACCTTGTTATTCTTGAAGGGATCTTTTTCTACTTTGTTTACTTTGACCTTGAATTTTTGAAGATCAAGAGGGAAATGTATTGGAAGGAGTCTTCCTCCCTAATTTTTTTTTTAATCCTCTGAATTTTGTTGTTATCCTGGTTTGCTTGACCTAGGGGTCATCTATCAGAAGGTGTTTTAGTAGGCGAAAGTATCATAAGGCTGTTTTCATGAGTGATTTGTAGTGTTTCTGGTGCATTTTGTTTTGCTTGGGAGGCCTGAGGTAGGAAGTAGGATTGAAGGAAATTGCTGGACCTGAGTCACACACATCATCTGTAGTGCCAAGATAATATTGTCATTATTGAGAGTGGCAGCTTGCTGACCAGGGCATAGAGATGATTTGTTGTAAAAGAGCCATCTTGAAGAAATTGGTAGCATATTATGGACCATTTCCTGGGAAAGGGAAATAAGTTGTTTGTAGACATTTTTCTTGGTAATAACATTGTCGTAGGCTTTTACTTGTGACTCCGAGTTGTTTTTACTCTGCTCACTGCCAGTGTTGACTTCTAGACTGAGATAGGCCTGAGTGGAAATCTGCATGCCTTTGTGGGAGCTACTCAGCTGCTCCGGGGAGATACCCTCCTTTTCCTCTGATGCCCAAATTGAACCCAGTGCAGGATTTGATGTGGAAGATTGCAGAGAGCGGGCAGTGACGTGCAGGAAAGGGACAGTCAGCCCAGTGGCCTTCCAGTGGCAAGGTGCTGGGGACAGGCCCAGCTCACTGGCGTGCCCCACGCCCAGGCCTTTTTGATGTGTCTGTGCACAGTGCACACAGGCAGGGTGCTGTCCTAGAACAGGATATCCTGTGTGCCCCTTAGGGCCTTTGTGGACAATCTGGACCAGGATTTAACCTGGTGAGGCGGGAGGTTTGAGAGCACATTCTAACACCTCCTCCTTGTGAAGTTTGCATTTTTTAACTCACTCCTCTCTAATACTGTCTTTGGCAAGTGGAATTAATGTTTTCACATTAAATGAATATACTGAATTTTTAATAGATTCCCTGGGGTATGGTTATAGTTTGATACTGTTTCCACAAGAGAAAAGATATGAAGAAATGGTATATTATCTTCTAGAGTATTGCAGTTAGGATTTATTTTTCACGCCTGGCCCCCTGCTGAACCCTCTGACCCATCCAGGCTGAGAGCAAAGCCCAGAAAACAGCTCTGGGTCCTACATGCAGGCGGCCTCCCTTTTGCATCCACATACTCACTCCTGTGGGCTTGGTGCTTTTCCCTGTTTGTTTGCTTCTGCCTTTTGCATTGGTCACTCTTGGTGGGCTGAGTAGGACTTGATCTTTTCCTGCTATGTTTGCTTGGATGCTCTGTGTAGAAGAGGAGGAGTTTGGAAAAAGGATTTAAAAAGAAGTACCCATTATTCATTATCCACTGCCAGTGTCATTAAAACTGCCCAGGACTCCAGAGAGCTTTGCTTCTAGGCTAGCTGATTAACATCTTTGAGGTATGAGAATCTTCTGAATGTGAGGGTTTTATACTTTTCCACTACTTATCTTTCTGGCACGCCACGCACCAGAGGAGAACTGCATTGGTTTTCTTTGAGATCAGTAGCAGAACTGGCAGTGGAGGTGACAGCTGAGAGACTTAGCAAAGCTAGCGGGGTTGTAGAGGTTGAATAGTTGAGTCCTCAGGCTTAGACTAGCTCAAGACGGACCTTCGCTCAGCTGTCATTCGTGAATGCCAGTGTGGCAGCAAGTGCAGAGTTGGCCCTTTGAATGTCTGTTGTCCTCTTTGAAGTCTTTGCTGATTCTCCTAAGTCACAGTCCTTACTCCTCTGGGGTCCCCTGGCACCTTTTGTCTCCACTTAACTCCCTCAACTTGGAGCTTGCAATTGATTGTCTAAACATCTATTTCTTCTACTGCATAATCCTCTTGAGAGCAGGAACCTAGTCTTGTTCATCTCAGATTTTTCCTAATCCATAGACTGTGTCCCACTTTTAAAGTTGCTCACTGAATCTTACTGAATTGAACTGAACAAAGCTGGCCGTGTCCATGGAAACCCTGCAGCTAGCACCCATGTTTATAGATCGTATATGCTGTCAGGAGGCAAGAGAGTATCCTTGGAGAAGCAGAGCATCACCATCAGAAGTAACACACTAGCCTATTGTTTGGCGCTTTTTTTCACAACTTTTGTTGAGATGTAATTCACATACCATATAGTTCAACCATTTAAAATGTATAGTGCAGTGGTTTTCAGTATGTTCACAGAGTTATGCAGCCACCACTATAATTAATTTTTGAAAGCTTTTATCATACCCCCCCCCAAAAAAACCCTGTACGTATTCCCTCCAGTCCCCCAGCCCTAGGCAACCACTGATCTATTTTTTGGTCTCTATATATTTGCCTATTATAACATTCCATATACATGGAACCATACATTTTGTGATATTTTGTGCCTGGCTTTTTTCACCTAGTATATAATGTGCTCAAGGTGTATCCGTGTTGCTGCATGTGTCAGGCCTGCAGTGAGGTAGTGTCTATAGAGCACCTGATACAATGCCTGGCACAATAGGGTATCAGTAACTATTATTTCCCTGTGTCCCACTGCAAGTTTTTAGATTTTAGTAAAATAATAGGTAAATTTTTAATTGGTATTTTGAGTTCAATTCACTGATTCCTCCCCACGCCATTTTTCCCCCCCAAGGCTATGCCTTTCTGCTGTTCCAGGAGGAGAGCTCAGTACAAGCTTTGATAGATGCCTGCCTAGAAGAAGATGGGAAACTGTACCTGTGTGTGTCAAGCCCCACCATCAAAGACAAACCGGTAAGTAACACAAAGCCACCTGTTGCTTTTCTGGAGCACACATGCAATTGGAATAGTGATCGTCTCCTTCTTGTAGTGGGAATGCTGAAACTAGGACCCTCTCACCCAGGGTGACCTTGCTATGCAGTAGAACCTGGACTGTTGTTGATGGGAGCTAATAACAAATTACTCGGAACTTCATTTTATACCTTTGGGAATGCATATAAACAAATGTGCCCTTGTCTTTCCCTTTACAGCTCTTTTAACCTAACTCTTATTCAGCAACTCTGAATTGAAGTAAATAATGCTCTTAATGGTTTTGGCAGCTGGTTTCTATTATTATTTCAGATCAAGAGCAGGGGTAATTTTTTAAAAGATCATAATCATCAATGTTTACGTGCCTTTGAATGCAAGGCATTGTGCGAGTACCCACAGCTGGCCAAACAGAGCCTTTTGGGCCAGGAGCTTACCCTCTAAACTGGATATCTTCGAACAGCCCAGGAGAGGGGAAGGACAGAAAACATGGACCCAAAGCCATACATAAATGTACACTTTTACAGTTTGTGGTTACTGAATCAATGAGTTTGAGTAAGTCATTGAATAAGAGGAAGACTTCTTGCTTTCTCCTGGCACAGTGGGTATCAATGGAGAAGGGGCAAGACTATGTTCTCTGAGCAGAAGAAAAGAACTTGGTAACATAGAAGAAGTAAGGATCTGTGGGAAGTTGGGAGGGGCAATTTGTGTGTGAAGACTTGGTGCTAGGAGTGGGAAATACAGTAAGATAGTGATACGGTTCCAGGCCTCTACCTACCATGGGGCCTGCAGCATCCCCTGTAAGACTTACACTGGAAGTGTAAGGCTTGCTTGGCAGCTGGATGTATTCTCAGAAATGTGCTTGGGAAGAGAATTGGGGCTGGACATAGAAGTTAGAGTCTTGACTCTAGCCTTTAAATATCTGCTTATCCTTGCTGAATCTTGGCTTCCTCATCTATAAAATGGGAAGAATACTGGTCCCTCTTTGGGATGTCAAGAGGCTCAGATAAGAGGAAAATGAATGTGAAAACATTTGGTGACGTCAGGTACTTGTGCAGTGTAACTGGATGGTGCTATTAGTCTAACTTAGGGCTATTGAATTCAGAAGAACAAGGTTAGAACTTATCTACATGGTAACCCCTGTGTGGAAAAATGATGACCTCTATCTAGGACAGAGTTTACAGTTGGTTGCAGGAGAATGATGCTGGGACTTGGCCACCTAGAAGGGGGAGACTGCAGTATGTAAAACAGAAGGTGGGGTGCTAAAGAATGGGGATATTGAGCGTATTAGAATAATTGATTCATAAGAAACAGGATATAAACAAGTATGAATATGCCACTGTAATTTTCAAATTCTGGCACCATAAAAACATTTTATGACAACAATTAACAGTTGTTGGGCAGGTTAGCATACAGGTGGGGCAGACAGTAGGTGGGGAGAAAGAGTAGGGAACCTTTGTTAACTTTGGTCTTAATCTAAGCAGTGTGGAGAGGCTGTGTGTTATGGGGAAGACATCAGGACTGACTGCCATGGGAGTGTGCAGGGTTTCATCTGGGTGAATAATAAGAAAGCTGATATAACTTCCCTAAATCTCTTTGGAATAGTGTGAAATTAGAAAGACTGAACCCAGTTTTCAGAGTCATATGTCTGAGAGGTAAAGGTCAACCTCCAGAGTGCCTCCGCCACTGGCACATCAGTAGAAGGGGAGTGGGAGTGAACTGGAAAGGGTTAAAGTGGGATTGTTCGTAGACTTATAGGGGGGGATTAGAAATGCATGTACATATATAAAAAGGCAGAGGGGTAGAGGCACATGTTGTGATAGTTATGCCTGTAGTAGATTAAGAAGCAGTTGAATTGAAGGGTGGAGACTGGAGAGGAGCACGTAGGTTCTGGGTACCTTGGAAGGCACGTCACTGGCTCTGTGGGAGGAGGAGGATACTAGCCCTTGTCGGGGCAAACCTCACCAGGACTGGACATGTCTTGAGAAGGGGAATGAGCGGTGATGGTTTCAGGTGGAGGTGCTATGGAGGCACCACCAGTGCTGCTGAGTGTTTTCACTCCAAACACATGTATTACCTTTGGCTTGAAGTACTTTTGAAAATAATTAGTGTAATCTGTCTTGGAAATGTTTATGGAGAAACTAACTTTCATTTTTTGTGTTTCTACAAATTTCTGCCTTATTGCAGTTTTCATTTTCTGAGCTCAAGTGAAGCAGTTTTATTGGAGCTTGGTGAATTCTGAATGGTGGCTGCCGATCACATATTTCTTTGACCCAAGCATACTCAGAATTTCCAGCATAAACAAGTTGAAAAAAAATGTAGGCTGAGAAACATAGAAGTCCCCAAACACCTGTAATTCTAATGAACGGGATCCCATTTTTGGTTCCAACTCTGTGGCTCCATTATGAAACCTTCTCTTCCTGTGCTTCAGCTACACGTCCCTCACTCCCACTTCACTTGGCCATACTTCCCTGCCAGGTTTCTGTACCTTCCACCTCACTTTGGATGCTCCCACAAAAAGGGAGACCTGGGTTGAACATTTGGGAGTAAATGAGGACCTTGGCAATAACTCAAGGTAAAGTCAACCTTTGGAGCTCATTCACCAAATTCTCTGAGCTATGGCTCTTTCTCACTTTTTTTTTTGCTCCTTAGCTTGGCTACCTTTCGGGATCCCAGTGCCCTCATTCTGTTGTTTAGTTCTCTCCAATCCTCCCTGGATTTCTCCTTGAAGATATACCACGTTCCAAAATGAGCTCACAGATTTTCTACCCACGGTCCTTCCCCCTATGCTTCTCCCTCACCCACCTCCCTGCAGCAAACCCTGTTCCCTTTGTGGGGATTAGGTTAACCAGATCCTTTTCCTAGTACAGAGCCTGATAGCAAGGTTCCCTCTGATTTAAACTAAGATCATGTTTCCTTTTTTAACTTAAACCCTTAATTAGTGGATTTCAGGTAGCATCAGGGAGATATTTTTGGTCCGTGATATCCTTTCTTTCATTAAACGGCTAATCTCAGAATATTCTATGAATAGGTCTGACCCTGAAAGTTAGCAAAAGAAATTGTATTTGTGGCCTGATTAATTGACCTCTCAGTCCCAAAGAATGGGTAAACAACTTGGCAAGAGCAGGAGCTAGTACAGAACTTCTAGATACATGATTTTTTCTTTCCTTCTCCAGCAAGAGGAGTTCCAAAGCTCAGCTGTCCCAGGCATCTTAGAGGACAGCTACGTCCTTGTCCAGGTGTCCAGTGAAGTGGGCAGACATTGAGACTCTGGGCTCTCTTGTTAAAGAGGTATAAATAGACTGATCCTGAAAGTTCAACACAGCAAACTGATAGAGCAGGAAATCTAGAAGGGTCTAACAGAGATAGGGGCTGAAAAAGAGTAACCTTGAAAAGGAGCTAAGGAAGGAGTTGTTTTTTTTTTTTAATCCTCACCAAAGGATATGTTTTTGATATTAGAGAGGAAGGGACAGAAAGGGAGAAAGAGAGAGAAACATGGATGTGAGAGAAGTAGTGATCAGTTGCCTCCCATACGCACCCCTACGGGGGATTGAACCTGCAGTCTGAGTATGGGCCCTGACACGGGATCAAACCCGTAACCTTTTGGTGTGTGAGATGATGCTCTAACCAACTGAGACCCCCCAGCCAGGGCAAGGAAGGAGATTTATGGGTCTTACCTTCTTAGAACACTTTGGCCAGAGATGTGGGGTAGTAAACACCTTGAAAAGAGCATTGGAGAAGTTTTCTGCTTCCTCCTACTTTATAGCGCATCACAATTTATAAATATGCTGAAATATGAAAGATTGATTTTGCTATATACAGAGGTGGGCAAAACTAGATTAAATTAACAGTCATCATTACCTAAAAGTTAAATCATAAGTAAAAATATGAAATAATAAAAAGACAAATAATACAGTAAATAAATAATAATATAAGAATGAGCTCTGTATGTTGTACTCATAACTGTAAACCTACTTTTGCCCACCCCGGTATTTAAAAACTGCCCTACCAAACTGAAGTGCTTATGTAAAGTCAGTTCTTTACATAAAGCTCATTGCTTTGGTAACATTGTCATCCTCTTAAAACTTGAAAACAAAATTTTTTAAAAAATGTTGGGGGCGAGGAAGCTGAAAATGGAGGCCGGTTTAATCTGCCCATGCTGTCTATCATGCTGGTCTCCCATGCCCCCATATATTATATATTAGCGGGATCTCCAGCACTTTCAATCATTCCTCTTTAGTCCTCTGGTCTATCTGTCATTCCTATTTAGTCCTCTGTGACCATTCCTCTGGTCACAAAAGCAGCCCAGATCATTTTCCCGGCATTCGATACCTTCCCAGTCTGACTTTAAATTTCTTCCCATTTTACCTTTTCCTGCTTTACTTCTGAACCCCATATTTAATTAACTGAAATATTTCTGTTCCCATCTTAATTTCTAATTCCTTCCCTTATTTTAAGATGCCCCTCAAATGCCATCTCTTTCCTGAAGCCTTCCCTGATCACTGCACCATCTATAGCGAATCGTACCTGCTGTTGCAGCCATTTCAGCCCACATACAGTCATCTGTTCAAATGATTTGCCTGCCTTCCATCCTTCAAGCCACCTTTGAGTGTGTTCTGTGGGCAAGGCGTTTGTACTGGTTACTATGAATCAGAATTTATTATGAATCAGACATAAAATCCTGTGTCAAAAAGTTAATAGTATAATGGATAGATAAAACAAGCTTTATATACACACTGAGTACTTTGGAGAGTTTATAAATACCTGGAGTGATAAAAGAAAGCTTCTTGAATGATGTGTCATTTGAACTAGGCCTTGAAGGAGTAAGAGAGTTTAGAGATTGGCTAGGAAAGGGATGGAGGTTTGGTAAATAGACATTTTCAAGAAGGACAACAGTGTGAACACAGAAATGAGAAACTGAGTGGTATGAATGGAGAACATTTAGGTTGGTTAGATGGAGCACAAGTGTATGAAAGGGAGTCGAGAAA